TTCTATAAATTGAAGATCCGTCCTTGTCATTCTGTAGCATCCACAATGTAGCCATATGAGGCTTGAGAGTCGTGTTTAGGGGGAGAACTTTACGGGACAAGTGTTAGTGTGTTACTTGTGTTTGCCTCTTCGTGAGGTTGTTCTCTCGATATTTTGTACTCTCTTTTATCATAGTGGATTGCTCATCTCCGTCGTAGACGTAAGTCAGTTGACCGAACCACGTTATATGTTTGTGTCTCTTTTGGATGAGCCTTCTCGCGCCTTCCTGCACAAACATCTGTTCTCCTGAGATCCAGGTTTCTGCACGATGATTTGTTCTGTCCTCACTTCCTTTTTTATATTTTATCCTATATTTCTCTTTGTTGTATGATTTATTGTCGTTCAAGGCTGCTTTGCTAGCTTCTTCGTGACACCTGATTTTTCTGGTCCTAAAAGATAAATGGCTCATACTACCATTATCAAAAAAGAAGACAAAAGAAATGCTCAAACTATTTACTACATATGTAAAAACGGAATGCATGAGGCAAATATCGTTAGTCATAGAGTGGCCAAAGACAAACCTTAGAATTGAAGATATTCTGAATCGCCTTATTGAGATCATTTTTCAACTCAGCATCTTTGATGGTATTACCTATAGTCAACATTTTCAAACTACTCACAGATCCCTGCTGGACAAACGTCTTCATTTCTAGGCACCTTTTAATCTTCACTTCTTTGAGATTTGGGAATTCTAGAGCATGCACCGTCACGTTTTGAAGGATATTTCATCAATCAGCTTAGTAATTTTTAGTCGCTCTCAAGCCATCTCTACTCAACCCGTTTTGAAAATCCACAACTGCCATCCCCTCGGACACGTTTGGCTGGGTCATTCTTACCCTGTTGAATCGAGCGAGGAAGTCCCTCAGTTCCTCTCCTAAGGACTGCTTGATTGTGAATATGTCGTTTACTCTTGTCTCGACTTTTCTGGCTCCGGCATGTGCCGTTACGAACTTATCGGCCATTTCCTCTAAGGTTTCTGTGGCGCAGGCTGGTAGCTATGAGTACCATGTCACCCCCCCCCCCCCGTCCCATAAGTGTTTCGCCAAATTTCTTCAGCAAAATAGAAGACACTTGTTCCTTGGTGAGGTCGTTGTGTTTCACGGCGGTGACGTAATGGGTAAAGTGGTCTTCGCTATACGATTGCTCTACGAACCTGCCTGCGTCCCTCTTCGGAAATAGCTTAGGGGCTCCCGGTATCACGGCGTCCCTCGTCAGCCATGCTTCGAGGAGATTTTTCACGGCCGGTGGCGTCCCTTCTTCTGCGGACGTGGGGGCCCCTTTTCCATTTGGTTCTGTTATGCTACAATGGGGGGAGGCGACCTCTCGGGCCTAGGGGAGGCAATGGGCATCACGTCTTCGCCTAATGTTTCACAGCTCTCGTTGATAGTGTTCATGAGGTTGCTAGGGAAATCACCTGTAACTTTTGTCCTCCCTCCTAGGTTACCTGCCATGTAGGTTTTTTTACATGCAAAGAAAGAGAAAGATCTTGGGGTTTGTGAGGTTAGTGACTGACGTTAGCTGTAGATCTAATGGAAACTAAAGAATTAACTAAGAAATCCCCACAGACGGTGCGAAACAGTTCGACCAAAAATATAGATCTTGGTTCATCCAATTAGAGTTAATCTTAATTAAAACTAATATCCTAAAAATAAAGCTGTCGGAATCGTGACAAATAACTACTATATTTCCCGGATGGCACTGAATATAAGCAATAATAACAGTATTCAATGATCCAAAAAGGTAGAATATGGCATTAAATAGTACTCCTCCGTTCCAATTTATGTGAACCTGTTTGACTGGGCACGGAGTTTAAGAAAAAAATGAAGACTTTTAGAATTTGTGGTCCTAAACAAGTCCAAATGGGGCCTAGAGTATTTGTGTGGTTATAAAAGCTTCTCATTAAGGGTAGAGTTGTATGTTTAAGTTAAATTATTACCAAATTTAGAAAGTTCATTCTTTTGAACGGACCAAAAAAGAAATAGGTTCACATAAACTGTAATAGGGGGAGATAAATAGCAATAAATGGTAATTTAAGTAAATAAAGCATGTGAGTCACCCGAAAAGGGATGAGAGCAATGGATATTCTTTCTGACATGGGTGAATGATTGATAGGCCTTTGAACACTTAGGTTGTTCTTGTTGGGTTTTTTGTATTTAATATATTAAATACATAAAAGAGGGTGAATGGGAAATGGAGGGAAATGAAATTTTTGAATGAAAATGAAGTCCCCCCCCGGCAAATGGACATTGTCCCATATTGGAAGATGAAGAGGTTTTTTATGGGTATATAAGCAATTGCTCTTCTTCTAGCTCTTAAAGAGTTGAGAAGAAGGTAAGCCTCGCGCCGCCGTCGTCGCTCGCTCGGCTCGGCTCGGCTTCGGATTGGGATTGGGATTTGGATTTGGTCAAATGATCGATTGATTGATTAACTTTTTGGACCAAATTTATTTGTTAATATATTAAAATAAATATTAATATTAAATCCTCCAATCCGTTTTTTTCTATTTTGGTAACAGAAGATTAACTACCCTCTTCAATTTTTCCTCTTTATTGTTGAGTAAATAGCCATTTATGTAATGACATTTATGCTGTGGCCATTGTGCATAAACAGCCATTCTGAAGAGTTGCACCTCTTCAGATTTCAGCCCAACTTTGGCTATAAATACAACACTATTCTGCTCAGAATTTCACTACGATTTTCTGAGTTTCTCCTCCTTCCTCTGCATACTTTTAGCATCAAACAAAGCAACAGTAAGTGTGATTTGCTACCGAACTTTGTGTTCGCTGAAACACTGGGGTTTGAAGTACCACTACACCAGTGTGTAATTCGTTCTATCCTGGGAGGAAATAATGCATAACCTTGGGTACTAGGAGGGGATTAAATTCCTTAAGGAAACACTGTGAATTCAGTGGGCTCGAATTGGTTTTCTGTTTATGTTCATTTCTATTTATGTTCATTTATATTTCCAGAATTATTTTACAAATACAGTTTTACTAACAGTTCTTGGATCTGGGGGAAAATGCCAGATAAGAATCTTACTAAAAAGGTTGTTTTTGTATGCTTGCTATAGAACCAAATTCTCTCTATAAAGTCAATATCTTTTTTCCAAATGGATATCTCATGTCCCCTATCATTGTGTCTCTTTCTAAGATTGGAACATGTTTCTAGAAACCATAATAGTATATGTGCAAAGAATATCCACTAGAATATTCTCTTTTATGTCTTATATCAGAACTAGCCGTTATAACTCTGTCTAAGATGCTCGACTCGACCATGAGCAATGGTGACTTCACGACCTTGCTCTTCACTGACTCTTCGACCGCACCATTCATCGCTTCGAGGATACTTCGCCCTTGGGCAGATCTTTGTGGGGACATCACTGGTAGCATGTGGCGGTTGATGAAGGCCATAATGCTGACATGACTTGCCTATTTCAAAAATATTTTTTGGCCCATACAAAAAGTATATTTAAAAGCTTCTCCAAAAGATATTCTTAAGAATATGTCAAACGACATAGAATACAAGATGACATTCATGAGAAATAAATCCACATATTAATTAGATATTGGATAAAATGAAAAAAAAAGAATTACAGTATACAAGGTACGTAAAAACTGAAAAACGAAGAAGAAAAACATGTAAATTCCTCACTCTTATATTACTGATTTTAGTCTCGAACCACCAGATGTGCTAATTAAAATCTAATTTTCATCTTTGGATCAGTAAGTTTGGAGACATTGTATAGGTATTTTCTCAAAATATTAGATCTTTAATTCATATACATGAAACCGTAAATAAAGGAAAAAGAACACCAACTAATTCTCAGGAAAGGATCATTTGAAATCCTCAAATTGTTTCTGCTAGACCAATATATTTCCGTGAAGAATTAATAAATATTTCTGCGGCGAAAAAGTGTCGTGGGGAAACGCTCAATTTTTCGTGATGTTGCTATGAGTAACGATCCTCTTTGGATAATTCGTCCAATCCAATTTTAGCTATAATGTTAGAATTTTTTTTGTAATATTGTAAAGTTTGCTCAACTCTAAGGCGGTTTCGCAATATTCCTCGCCAACGATTCAAAATTGAAGGATTATTGATGTTGAATCTAAAGGAGCTGGATAAATAGTTAAATTCCGTTAATGGAATTAAGGAAATGATGTATAAATTGGGGTCAAATAAAATATAAAGGAAATTGATAAAGAAGAACACATGCGCAAACGTTCTATGAAGACTTTTGCGAGAAATCATTCATTGGCAAAACAATTATTTGGTTGACTAAACAACTAAACGAGCTTAAGACTTCAACAGCGTTATTTATTGAAGGTTGACTAAGTTAACTAAACAAAAGTTACGACTTCCACAGTATTAATAACGGAAGGCAATCGATTGTTAAATGTTGCAAAGTACCGACATTGGACCTCATTTAAATTAATTATTTGTCATAGTGTTCATGGTAAGTTTTATTTAGTTAAATTGATAGTTTTATCCAAATAAAATTTAGTTAATTTAACTCTAGAAATAAAATTAAGTACAATAACCACAAATCACATGAGTTAGGTGCTCCAATTTCATTACACAAAATACGAGGTCGAGTTTACAAATAAAAATAAAGGAGCAAAATTCACAATAATATTAAGATAAACAGCCCGTAATACAAGCGTTTGTCGTCTTTTCTCTCGCTTCCTTTCTTCTTTAATCTGTATTTTTGTATAAATCAAAAGGGTTATTGATAGTTTGCTTATTTATTTGGAATCCTCTTACGGTTCTGATAATTCTATATATTGTACGAACACTTAATTATTACCTTCATTAGCATAGATATCAAGTGATATTCGAGCTAACTTGCGGGCACATCAACTAATTATCTTTTTTTGTAGTAATTGACATCTTTTTATTAATCACTAAAGTAGTAAATGACAAATTTTTGTTGTAGCTACCTCAACCAGCTATCTAAAGAAGCATTACCAAACAAACTCTCTCTATAACTATACTGAGAAATCTGAAGCACACCTCCTAGGGAAGTTTTCTTCCATTTGTCAAGCAAAGTAAGGAGTACTAGAAAACAAATAAGCCTATCACTTACAACCAGAAAATTACATAGTCCATGACTGCTCTAAACATCGAGTCCAGGTGGTGCTAACATTGCAAATGTATGCAATGTTCCTGGCATGAAATAGAGTCAATTAACTTCTCTGTCATTAAGTACTTATTACCTTGTTAGCTCCGAACTTGTAGACAGCACTAGCTTCCGCCATTACTAGATTTAGCTTCGTCGATATCACTAGCTTCTTGTTCCTGGGTGCTGAGATTGCCAAAGGACAGAGATCATGACTAGTTCAGAAAGTACAATTACTTGAAAAAATAAACAGTATACTGATACTTTGGATTTCGAATTGAAAATATGTAAAAGAAAATAGCTTCAAGTGACAAAGATAAATGGCTCATACTACCGTTATCAAAAAAAGAAGAAGAAAGAAATGCTCAAACTATTTACTACATCTGTAAAAGCGGAATGCATGAGGCAAATGTAGTTAGTCATAGAGTGGCCAAAGACAAACCTTAGAATTGAAGATATTCTGAATCGCCTTATTGAGATCATTTTTCAACTCAGCATCTTTGATGGTATTACCTACAGTCAACATTTTCAAACTCGGTGTACTCACAGATCCCTGCTGGACAAACGTCTTCATTTCTAGGCACCTTTTAATATTCACTTCTCTGAGATTTGGGAATAATAGAGCATGCACCGTCAGAATGAAATACCCCAGCTTTGGAAGCTTTATGATTTCCAGCTTTTCCAAATGGGGAAATATGGACGCATTAGTTATTTCTACTCCCTGTTCCTCTTTTGTGATCACTTCTTCCATTGATGGACAATCTTCTATCTCTAGTACTCTAAGATTCAGAACACCTCTGGCCACTGATGGAGGCATCAAGTTTCTCAATTTGTCACACCCAAATACTTTCAATTTTTCAAGTTTGCTGAAGTCAACAGTTGGAAATCGGTGAGACCATAGAGCTGTTATGCTGTCAGCCCCAATGACTTCTAGCTCTTCCAAGAAGGGACAAGAAACCTGCCAAAAATTGAAGGCGTTGAATATCTTAGAAGGAATGAAAACTCAATCTAGCTTCAAGTACAAATGGAAAAATGAACCATATCATATCTTATATCAAGGTAAATGGAAGTGCGAAACTAGTTAAATGAAATGGTGGTATTAGAATTTGTGTGATTTTTAAATTCATGAAAATTACTCCAAGTAAATTGTGACAAAAAAATATCATGATTAGTGGCTCTAACATAGGGCTAATTTCACGAATGATCAGTAAACTTTACTCAATAATATATTGTAACGAATATTAAGAGTAAAAATATTTGATTATACTATTCTATAAAACAAAAGACAACTAAAAAGCACTCAAATGAAACAAAAACAGGAAAAATAAAATGAATTGCAATATAAAGAAGTTCAATTTTATAAGTGGAGAGCTCATGGGGAGGGGTTAAAAAAATGTTAAAAGCCAAAACAGAGATTGCATACGAAATGAAGGGAAGATGTTTGTTCAGAGTTGAAGGGAGAACTTGATTTTTAAAGCAAAATTGGAGAGGAGAAATGATTTTCACCTATATAAAAAATAGTTATAGAAATAAAATAATTAGTTATAAAATTCTTTTGGGGAAGTAGTTATACAATCAAAATAGTTACTACTAGTTTCTCCTTTTCGTTCCACTATTTATTACTAGTAGCAGTAAAAACAGAAAGATAGCAGGTGTAATAAATTGCAGCCTTTTGAGACTCGGTGTACTCACAGATTCTAGGACAAACGTCTCCATTTTAGGGCAGATATAAATCTTCACTTCTCTAAGAAGTTGAAATTCTAGAGCATGCTCCGTCAGAAAGAAATGCCTCAGCTTTTGTACATGATCGAGCTGCAGCTTTTCCAAACGGGGAAATAAGGACTCTTTAGTCATTTCTTCTCCTGGTTCATCTTGTGTGATCACTTCTTCCATTGATGGACATGCTTCTATCTCTAGCATACGAAGATTCAGAAGACCTCTGGCCACTGATGGAGACATCAAGTTTCTCAAATTTTTACACCAAAGTACTACCAATATTTCAAGTTTGCTGAAGTAGCCAGTTGAAAGTTGGTGAGAGCATAAAGTAGTTATGCTATTAACCACATAGAGTCTTAGATCTTCCAAGTTGGGACAAGAAACCTGCAAAATGTATTGCATAAATATATATCTTCAATCACGAATAGAAAAATGGAACCATATCTCATCCTACATCGGAATAACATGAAGTGAAGAACTAATTATATGAAAAGGTGAAATTACAATTGATGTGATATATATACATTTTAATTAGTAAAAACACTTTAAATACAAACTGAAAAAAGAAAAAGAAGTTTCATGATAGTACATCATCACTCATATGTAGAAGTGTACCTTTTCATCAAAAAGAGTATTTGAGTCTGTGATAGAGCTGCCCTCTAACGTTCTATTGCTGGTTGTCGGCAAGAAACCTTTGAACTGGGGTACATAGTACAATCCCATTTCTCGTAATTGAGGGAACTCAATACCCTCAATAGTGTCATTGCAAAGTTGAGTGAGGCATATTAGATCGCTAAGTTCCATGTCATATAAATTGGGGAACTTGATTATATGTCTCCTTCGAGTGACCTCCTCTTCCTCATCATCAGAGAAAGCTATTGTCGAACTCCCTGCAGCCAAAGGAAGAGAAAAAAGATACTGTAGACTACGACAGCAGCTTACTTTCAGGCTTTCGAGTATGGGGAAAGGAATATTGTTCTGACTGTGGATCTTCAATAAATGTGTCAATGAATCCATATTTTTGTCGAGAAGATGCTCAACATAATCACAATCGTCCAGGTAGAGATCTTTCACGTTCTGAAATCCATCAAACATCAACTCGGTCAGCACATTCTTGGACCCATTTCCTCTTGAATGTACATGTTCACTCTTCCTCAACAGGCGGCGGATCCAATCACCCAATGGGTTGATCTCGTTATCCTCGAGATCCATAATACTGTCGTACATACCCAGTTTTGGAGAATGCTTGCCCGAAGTGGAACTGTTGCCCAGTTTTTGAGAATGCTTGACGGAAGTGGAGTTGTTGCTCAGTTTTAGAGAATACCGAGTCAACTTGGAGGAAAGGGCCAAGTTACAGTGAATCACATCTCGCGAACATTTAGTTAATGTTAGTGCACTCAATTTCAATGAGGAATCCAGCTCCCTCAAGGTGGAGTAACTACAATCTTCTACTCCCATCACATGTAGTTCCTCCAATCGAACTAGTCCTGATAAGACCCCTTCTGAAATCCTTTTAAGTGATTTTTCCTCATTCCAAAACTCTAACATAATTAGATTGCTCAATTCTCCTATCTCCACTGGCAGCTCCTCTAAGGAAGAATCTCTAATGCTGAGAATTTTCAAGTTGACAAGTTTGCCAATAATGGATATGTCCTCCAACCATAAATTACTCAGACACAACGTCCTCAGATTTGATAACCTCTGAATCGATGCTGGACAAGGCAGGACGGGTTCCCGGTATCTGGCTCCCCTCACGCTTAAGACATTGAGCTTACTCATCCCAACGAAAAAATTATCCTGTATTTTGATTGATCGATATTCAAAGAGTTTTAACATGAGTAACTCAAGTCTCGGGCAAGATATTGGTTTAGGAAGCTCATTTAATCTTTTCGCAACAATCGACATGTGAGTATATTGTTCGTAAGCATCTTCTCTTGGAAACACTTCTGAATTCACATCGTGACTTACCAAAAAGACATGCTCTCTCTCAGATGCAAAATATATAGCCACATCACGGACCACATCGTGCATTTTGACATGACCTTTGCGGGAGCCTTCGGTTAACAAGAAACGATCTTTCAGTATTTTTAACAGATGATGCACCATCTTTCTTGCTGCTTCTAAACTTGAAAAGATGCCAAGCCCCATTCACTATTTTAGTAAATATTCAGGCTAATATCACTATCTTCCTCGAACAAGGAACAAAGCAAAAAGAGGTGCCTCGCTTCCTTACTTTCCAAGTGATCATAGCTTAGCTTCAGAGGTATATACACATCTTTAATCACTTTATCAATAGTTTTTGGTGCAGATTGTCGTAATTGTACAAGGGCATCCTCCCAAAAACCCTTGCTTTCAGGCTTTAGCGCTCCTGCAACAATACTAAGGGCAAGCGGCAACCCATTGCATTCTTGCGCAACAGCTTTTGCAATGTCACGAAGAGAAGGATCGTCAACTGAATTACCGGCGTAGTGCCTGAATAGAACCCATGCTTCTTCTTTAGATAAGGTTCCAACTTCCGTGATACTTTGAGCATCCATTGTTTCACAAACCTTTCGGATACGCGTTGTCAATATCACTTTGCACTGATTGTTGTGGTTGCTACCGATGGGAATTCCAAGTTTCTGTAGAACATCATCCTGAAGAGCCTTCCAAACATCATCCAAGATTACAAGGACTCTGCCCGGGCCCCTTAACCTTGAGAGCAGTTTATCTCCATTTTCGCACAAATTGTTCCCTGTTAGTGTCAGACCGATTCCTCCTGCGATCTGACCCTGAATTTTGTGCAAGTCTAGTGTCTGACTGACATCTACCTTGACAACCTCATCAAATAACCTTTTGTGCTTCGCGCATTCTCTGATTTTCTCAGCCAGTGTCGATTTACCAACACCGCCCATACCGCATATCCCAATAATAGAGACACTCTCATCTTCCAAAGCTCTCATGACCTCTTCCTCCTTCTCTTTTCTGGATTGAAGCTCCACACCACCATTACTAGGTATAATTCCAGTTTCGACAGGATGGGAGAATTTAACATCATATTCTTTGCCTTCAGTTTGAAGTTTGGTCACCTTCTGTGCAATTTCATCAGATCTCTTGCTCAGCAAGTAGCGTGACTTTAAGTTTGGAAACCAGCCATAGAAACAACCTCTTTCAACCTCAGATCTACGCAGCAGTATACTCTCCACATCAGCAGTTGTCTTTTTAGCACTAGTTAACCAAGAATGGACGTTGGAGGAAATGACTTCTAAGTTCCTCCGCACAGCAACCACTCTTTGCTGCACCCTACTTCTCATTTCCTTCAGCTTCAGAGATTCAGTCTCCAGAGATGTGATGTGGCTCTCATAGGAAAAGAAATACCCGATCTTGGCTATCTCTTTCTTAACTGCCTCAATCAACCAATCAGTAACTTTTTCCCAAACTTTAGATATCTCTTTCTTAACTCTCTTTCAACGAAGCAGTGACTTTTTCCAAAACGGACCGGAAAAACCAAATAATGACCAAAACAAGAACTGGCTGGATCAACCACTCTTCAACTTTTTCCACAACTTTAGATAAGACTTCCATAGCTATCTCCTTAATTCTTCACAGGCTACTGTGATACAGAAATGAAGTCTTTCTGCGATCCTCTAAAGTCTGAACTCTGCTAACTTTGGTTCTTAATAGAATCTCTTTTTTTTTTTCCCTTTCCTTTCCGATGTTTTTGACTAGATTTCGTAGTAAAAGGAAGCAAAGGTAGGATGAATATGAATCTAAGGAATAGAATTTTGCTTTTCTTCTTTTTTGATGTTTTTGACTAGATTTTGTAGTACAAGAAGCAAAGTAGGATGGAAATGAAAGCTTAGGAATAGAAACTTTTTTTTTTCTTATGTTTTTGACTAGATTTCGTAGTACAAGGAAGCAAAGGTTGGATGGAAATGAAAGCTTAGGAATAGAAATTTTTTTTTTCTTTTGATGTTTTAAAGTAGATTTGGTAGTACTAGGAAGCAAAGGTATGATGAAAATGAAAGCAGAGGAACAGAGTCTTTTGTCAATTCAAGGAGCAATGCGAAGGAGAAAATGTTTACAGGGAAACTTTGAGAGTGAATGCAGGGTCTATAGAACAATCTAGTTTTCTGTGTTCAATCGGAAGCAGAGGATATGAAGAAGAGGAATAGAGAAAGCTGTGGACTTCAACAGTGGAACTTTATACTATATATAGTTACTTGATGTTCTGAACCTAAAAAAGTTTGTTGTTTTTTCCAAACTCCTAAGTTTTTTATTCTAAACTACTAATCCACTACCTCTGTTATCGGACAATGTTTGAGATAATTAAATGACCACATGCATAACAACTACTCCCTCCGGTCCAAAATAAGTGATTTTTTAGCTGTTTTCACACAGATTAAGAAATCTACCTTTTAGCATTAATCAGCAATGAAATTGACCATATTAACCTTTGTTATCTCTTCACTTAAATACTCCTAACACATACTCCAACACTATTTGTTCCAAGGGCAATGTAGGAAAAAAATAATTAATTCATTCTTGAAATCTGAAAAAATCACTTATTTTGGACCACAAAAAAAGATCAAAAAATCACTTATTTTGGACCGGAGGGAGTAATGGTTTCTGAAAATTTCTCAATGTATTCTCTATTACCAAAACTTGAACTTGAGACATTTAATTAAATATGTAAGAATGATATTGCTCATAATAATCCAAAATTCCACAACCAAATGGCTTTTCCATGATATGGTTGGGTTTTCATTAAAAACAATTTTGGTATTATGCTGATTTTGAGTGTTGGACGGAGATATGGAGTTTAATTTGTTTCAAATATACTCCCTTTGGTCCAATGAAAGTATTATTTCAGCGAAACGAATTAGGTCAAAGTAAATGTCGCTTTAGGAAACCAAAAAAAAAAAAAGGGATACTTTTGTTTCAAAATTTATACTTACTCCAATAAATGATATACAATTTTCATAAAAGTCATACCAATCTTACCAAATTTCAGGAGGAAAAAAGTTTGAGTAACCTTTATAATTAATGTTAGTAAATATTTTTCTTAATGGGTGTCCCAAAATTTTGACAATGACTAAAAAGATCAGGAGGAGGATTTGTTTTCTAAGAGTCTGTTGGGAAACTACCGTGCAAATACTAGGCTGGTAGTAATTACACAACCTAGTAATTATATTGTATAGTAATTACAACGTCATATTTGTTAATATTGTAATTACAATGTAATTACATGTGTCATGTTTGGTTGCAAGAGTGTAATTACATAGTAATATATTTTTTTATTTAAAATAGAAGTTAATTTTTTCCATGTAACAAATATATGCATATTATAATTATAAATTGGTAACTGATATTTTGAAGAATAACCGGCTTCTTTTATATAAATATTATTCAACATGAATAAATTGAATATACAAGAAAAATCGAATACCTTACGAACTGTATGTATGAATATACAGAGGCTGATCCAGGATTTAGATTCTATGGGTTCAACTTTTAAAGTTTTAGCGTTGTACCCATTATATGGGTTCATATCTACTATTTATACAATTTTAATGAGTCTTTACATGTAAATTTTTACTCCGCATCGAAAGTTATGGATTTAGTTGAACCTGTCGGCAACACACTACATACGCCCCTATGAATATAATATGTAATTCATGATGTGTTGCACTTTTTAAATTAAAAAATACATAAATATGAATTTATAAATTACTTTTTCATAATAAAAATTTATGCTAATTAATACAGTCGAAAATATAATATTTATTTAAAAAGGTACAAGCACTGCTAAAGCTACAACATAATTGATACAGAAACTTGTTATTATAAAGCTAATAAAATTTCAAATTATCAATAATCATCAATCAAAAATTTTCGATTAAATAATTATTTCAACAAAATAAAAAAAATAAAAAAACGATGGAAATAACAGTACAGCAGTTCATTGAGTTCATTACTTTGATCAAGACATCAACCTACAAAGTATTCCCAATTAGTGCTAGTGTAATACGAGGGCAAGCAATAAAAGAAGAGATTTAAATGGGAAGAAGAAAAATGTCAGGAATTATAAAGTTAGAATACCATTATCTCTAATGGAGTGAGAATATAGCTTCATGTTAAAACAGAAATATGAGAAATGACAGAAACAGAAGCGGTCTTACTTTTTTCTTAATAAATAGTACATATTTGAAAATGAAAAAATAGAATATAAAAAGCCATTTGGTAATTACATGGTGTAATTACCTTCAATTCTAACTTCCCCTTGAGAATTGGAGTGTGTAATTACTCCCTCTTAATTACACCTAATTCCACACTAATTAAGTAATTACTTAGCCAAACAAACAAGCCAAATTGTGTAACTACACCCAATTACATCCAAATCCAATCACATGGCTTTCCATACATGCTCTAAAAGAAAAATGCTCAATTTTAAGACAAGCTGGACCTGCTTAAATATATGGCCAATATACAAAAATTAGCTGGTCAACCGAAACTAATTGTGTTCATTAGCCAAAAAATATATAGAATATTTATATATATTTTTATATAATCCAAATATATACAAAAGATATATATTTGTTGGGTATCATTTCAACCCGCACCAGAAACTATTTACATTCGATACCTGAAAAATATATAAAATTTGTAAATTTTTGTATATAACATACATAATATATATATATATATATATAATGTTTTTCGACTATTTTTTTAGAGCGCCTCTATAGTATCATTTTTCCTTAAAATTATACATTTCTCTAAATATGTATTGGGAAAAATTATATTTTATATATATGGTGACGTGTCAGGACACGTGGATTGGTCAAATGGTCAATGAATCACAATTAGGCACGATTCAAGAGTTGTAAAATAGACACGAGCAAAGAAGGAGGAAGAGGCACGGGACATCAGATAAGTAGCACGGCGCCCACACCTATTTAAATCATTTATATCCGGGCATCAGAAGGAATGAATCTAGTTATAAAAAAGCGTGCAGATACAATATTTAATGGGTATTAAATGCTGAGTCCGTTAAGGAATATGTATATTCAATGTAATGATTGTGTAACGTAACATTCAATGTCTTTNTCTACCTTTTAGCATTAATTAGCAATGAAATTGACCATATTAACCTTTGCTATCTCTTCACATAAATACTCCTAACACATACTCCAACACTATTTACTCCAAGGGCAATGTAGGAAAAAAATAATTAATTCATTCTTGAAATCTGAAAAAATCACTTATTTTGGACCATAAAAAAAGGCCAAAAAATCACTTATTTTGGACCGGAGGGAGTAAAGCACTAGCCTTCAAAAACATTTATTCTGCAAAAGCTACAGTAAATTGATCAGCTGTCAACCTCATTCCCTCCATACAAAATTCTCTATTGAGTGCTAATTTAATGTACTTAAAGCTTAGAGAATGAAGCATATATTAAAAAATTTGGAAAGACAGATTAGTCCTGATAAACTAAATGGTCTTGTTCTAATTAATTAATGTAAAACTATGCAAAATAAAGTATAAGTTCCCTATAAACTATTCCCTACTGGAACCTTTTAAAGATTCTTTTGCTCAACTTTTCTTTTTCCCTCCATTAAAGGATCTAGCTGGAGCTTGACCACACATCAGACGGGTGCTAATCTTGCTTGAATGAAAGATGATTTCTAAGACAATAAAATAAAAGTATGTTCACAGTCATGAAATTTTTGCTTCTTCCTTTTTTAGCTGAAAAGATAGTATGATGAATATTTTTTGCAATTTCAAAGAAAATGTTCTTTTTTTCTAGTAAAAAGTCTTAAAGTAATGCAAGTTATAATAATTCCATAAGGAACCTCATAATTTGCTCCATTCACACTAGTAACTCATGTGAGAACTTTAAGGGAAAAGTAATGGTTGCTTTTGGAATTTCGCTCCATGTTTCACATGGATGGCTAAGCTCTCAAATGAGTCATTAGGAAACAAGACCCTTATTATGCTACATTCTGGAGAGGTTTGGACTTACATTCTAATTGTTACTTTTTTTTAAAAAAAAATAAGGTTCCCAGTTGTCACCTGGGTTGCATATATCAAAAAGATACAAGACAAGAGGGGGGCTTGGTCCGACCTCGTACAAAAGCCGTGTAGTTCTAAACCTTAGAGACATACAGAGTAGGCAAAAAAGAAGAAATATTTTTTTCTTTTAAGGAAGAGATACCAAAAAAAATTCAAAAGGAGTACTAATCTCATCTTTCTAGCAATTCCCCACATATCTCAAGGGAATATTAAAATAAATATTAATAATAATAATAATAATAATAATAATAATAATAATAATATTGATCGGTTTTCATCAATCAAGTATAATGCATCAAATTTGATATCTTTTGGATTATGAACCAGATCTAGATAAAATAAGATTTAATTTACATAATAATTGGTAAAGTTTCAACTACTATGAATGAAG